ACATCTACGGGCATCCGCAGGCAAATGCATTGCTGGTGTTGTCAGTGCCGCTGTGTCGGCTAACAACCACACAATGACAACAAGTATGTCGTTGGAGGTTCCATTAACGACCATATATCGTTGTTGTCCCAAACAGTACATTGATGACGTATTTTACACGGAGTGGTTTGCGTACTCATATGGGAGCATTTTCATGAATCCCTTACATGTTCTGGCAGTGCGGACGCGGCCTAACGCGCGGCCAAACCAGGACGCCGGGCCTTGTCCAACAGACTACGGGGTCACGAGGTGGGCAAGATGAGCCAAAGGGGGGGGGGGGGGTAGGTTACCACCCATCCGGCCTAAGGTTAGAGTGGACGAACACTCTTTTTAGCCTACCTTGGGATGAGATTTGAGGCGGACCCTCGAAGGCCGTGTTGAGTCTAGTGCGTATGGTCAGCAGCACTAGGCGACCAAGACGCTTCGACCCGTCTAGCACGGCTCATGATAAATACGATCATGCTACGGCACGGGCAGAGGGCCCCATCAACCTAAGTGATGGTCTTTCCTTAGCAGGGAAGGTACAACGAGAGCCAGGGAGACGTTCCCTCTTCCTCGCGGCAAGGTTGAGAGAAGCCCTCATGAATACAGGAATCAGTAATTCAACAACCTTGGATGGCTATATGGAGCTAGATGAGCACCGACATCGTAAAGAAATCGCACAATCAGGCACTTGTATGAGCATTCACCCAAATATTTTCTGACAAAAGCAGCTGACTCACAGTTGCTGCGGATAACTGACAGATGCCTTGGCAGATAACAAGCTGTCAAACATAGTGTTTTCGAAGGCTCTAGAATGGGGATGAACCCTTCACGGTTCAGAGCGAAAATGAGCGCTGGCCTCAGGCCTGTTCAACGTGCAAAAAGTTCCCGTCAAAACTGTGTGATAAGCGGATAAATTCATCTGCGCTGGTAGCTGTCGTCGCCACCAAAAGCCCTGTCGATGGGACGAGCGCTAACCTGTCGATATTCCCGTCATCCGTCCGGTGCTGGAACAGCAAGTGTTTGATGATACGGGTCTGGACAGCCATGATCACGGGCTGTGTGAGTGGCTGAGCTGTCCGCAGGCCGTAACCCACACTGCCACCTGGCGGGTGGAAACTGAACCCGCCGTTCAGCCATTCCTGTCGAGGTGGCGATAAAGTTGCACCGAACACCAGCTGCCGCAGTCTCTGAAATAGACAAGACGTTGACCTTCCATAACGTCTGTTTTAGATACATCGACGTAAAATTCACGTGGCCCAAGCCGTATGATCCCCAAAGCCGTTTGACAACAGTGTAGCAATCTCTCCAGCCGTTTGCAGTGAAGAAGTAGCTGCATACCTAGGTTTGCCGCCAGGCATTCTGACTGCGGGGCAAACTCTTGGAGGAACGACATGAGCCTTTACATGCGACACCGGTTACATCCCCGTCTGAAAAAATATCTTCAACTTTTCTTTCACACTCAATTCTGAGTTCCTGTGACACCCCGTTTATCCCGGACAGACTATACGGGCATGTGCAGGGGTGCCACTTTCTAATATCGGTTGTGGGCTCAGCCAAAAAGGTTAACTTACCCTGACCCCAAAAGCTGATTTCCCCAGGGGCTTCAACCAATTGAACTTGCGTGATTGGTGCCAAAATGCAACGGCTTTTTAATATTCCCTAAATTCAGAAAAAGTTTTGCTGCAGAGGAATGCCTCCCCATTTAAAGAGCTTGATGTGAGCTGTGTTTGGTAAAAAGGTTAAATGAGGTGCAATTCACTGTAAAGAATATGAATAAAGTTCAGCAAGAGATCACGGATGACTAACGCTGCTGCTGATCGTTGTATAACTACCACGGCCACGAATATGTAGCCACCCCCGCGTCCGGTCAAGTCCGGCAAACTGACCCCACCGCCACCGCTTCAGCAGATGCCACAGCCGGCCTGGCCTGACGGGCTCCCGCTACTGACTACACTGCCACTGGACGAGCCTTAGCCACCGCTGCCCCTGGACGAGGCCTTACCGCCGGTGTCCCTGGGCGAGCCCTCGTCACCGCTGCCGCCCTTGCCGCCCAAGCCCATTGGGCCTCTCACACACAGAGCTCCCACTGACGCCAATGTCGTGACATCACGTTTGGCATAACGCTGTACCAAGGTTTGTGAGCACAATATTTACTTGTCTCAGTGGTCAACAGAGCAATAGCCAGTTTCGCGTCTAAATTTTGTTGTGGATATTAAGCCAGGTTTAAAGGCATCAAGCTAATTATCCGAATCATGGCATCTACAAAATAGCACATTGGCAACAGACCGTTGACCCCAAACATCGTGATCAACATTACTTTCGTTTTGTGGCACTATGAAATGTCCCAGCAAATGGGAGCTTCCTCAGAAACTGGGTCGGCTTCTAAGTTTATTTTTGTCCCCGGAGACCTAGAATCAACACGCGCTCAGGTGACGGGCCAATTTGACCCCCCAATAATTATTTTTCCAGAATGGTT